AAAGTCCAGGACCATGGGGCAGGGGGGAAAGGTGGGAGGCAGGGTGGAGAGGTCAGGGGAGAGATGACTTCTAGCACGTAACGCAGCTGCAGTATGCATGAAATAACAGAAAGTACTTCTTCATAACAGCGGGCCTTGACCTTTGACCCTGGAAGTTGCTTCTGGTTGCAGTTGGAAGTGTTTTCCTCAAAGTGTGTCTGTGGTGTGTCTGAATGTGTTGGTTTGAAGAGCGTTGTCGCCCTCATGTGGATAACACTGAGAACAGCATGCTTGAATTTCAGTTTGGTCTACTACTACTCCCCTCCTCACTGTCTGTGGTCATCATTTCTTTCTACTCAAACTCTCTCTCTGCAGGACTTGCATCATGTCTTCATTCATAACATCATGTATACCCTGCAGATAATAATACTGCTCACTTATTCCCCCCCCCCATAAATAAGGCATGTCTTTGAGGAACAACGAGACGGATAATTAGCACATATATTATTGATGTTTTGTCCGTGTTTTCATGCTCTTTCTTCTGTCTTTCAGCGAGGAAGCCAACCACAGTGAAGCGGCCAGCCCACCCCCAAAGGTAGAAACACATCTAGACGACGACCTTAGAGTCTTTTTCATTCATATATATAAGAATAAAAAGGAAGCATCTAGAGCAGCGGTTCACATTCTTCAACTGGTCGCCATTCTATAAGAACCCCCTCACTCATCTGTGATCATTCGCCTGAATGTTTTCGTGTATAAAACCCTTTGTGATTGTGTTTAACTCAACTGCTGCTGAATGAAACCACTTGTATAACTCACATTCAATACAAATGCATGACATTAACACTTTGTCAGGTGAAATGATGTTAACACTCACTACTTATTTAGGAAGCCAATGATGAGGAAGACCCCTCCCCTCTGAACAGTCACTTCAATCCGTCATATTTGAAAAGAAACATTGTTTTTTTTCTGTGTTCATTTAAGACAAAAGTTATTTATTTACTTGTCGATTACTTTGGCGCTATTTTTAGATCGTCACTGTGTGTGTACTAATCTGTCACCCTGGCTGCGTTTGCATGCGTTTTGCTCGTGTGTGTGTTGTGTGTGTGTGGCGTCGTTTGACCCCTGCTGGTGGTGCAGAGGCAGGCCCCCCCCCCCTCTCGGCCGCCCCCCCGCATGACGCCGTCCCCCGACCACAGACAGAAACACGTCGAGACGACGGAGGAAGAAGCGCCGCCAGCGAACGCACCGTCAGAGCAGGTCAGACGTCTACATCCTGCAGGAGAAAAGACTTCAGTTCACGATACGATAATACTTTAATGATCAAGTCTGACATTTGACTTGCATCACAGCAGCTCCATGTGTAACATCAGAGAGGGCACATCCTGTACTCAAGTAGAAGTACATACAGTATACTCGTGTTTAAACATGCTCTGGTGAAAGTAGAAGTACTGACTAAACTTCTTTACTCAAGTCAAAGTAAAGAACTTTGAAATGTACTTCAGTAAAAAGTACCCATAACTAGCAGCTGTTTTAAAGAGTACCTGACCTCCCTTTATATTAATAGAACAATAATGTCATTGTTAGCTAATGAATGTTTCCATGGTGAACAACGGCAACATGACAACGTTTTCATTGGTCCCTCTTCTTTAGAGAAGACCAGGAAATGATGGATACACGGATCGTGTTCAAATCAATAGGCACGCAATGACTCTAAATAATAATGATCACGCCACCAAACACACATTCAGACTAAAGGAACCAGCCTGTTTGGAAAATGAGAGAAGTAGAAAGTACAGGTATTTGGGTTCAACATGTAAGAAGTAGAAAGTACAGGTATTTGAGTTCAACATGTAAGAAGTAGAAAGCACAGGTATTTGTGTTCAACATGTAAGAAGTAGAAAGTACAGGTATTTACCTGTAAAGTACTGATACCAGAAGAATGTACTTAAGTACAGTAACTAAGTATTTTTACTCCACTACTTCCCACCTCTTACAGCAGACTGATTACCCCGATAGTAACCCCCCCCTAACCTGTGTGTGTGTGTGTGGAGCAGTGTGAGAACCTGCTGGATTGGGATGTGGAGGTGTTACAGCCCGACACATTAACAGCACCCAAGGTGGGTGAAAGTCAGCCGAGCCTAACACTGGGTTTACATTCAGTTTTAGATTTAGTTTTGATTATATTAATCTAAAACCATGTTTAAATACTAGAATCGGTAACAACGACACTACAGTCTTTTACCTCTCACACATGGTGCACAGACCCAACTTTAAACTGCATGTAAACGCAGTGTGTGTGTGTGTGTGTGTGTGTGTGTGTGTGTGTGTGTGTGTGTGTGTGTGTGTGTGTGTGTGTGTGTGTTTGTGTTTGTGTTTCAGCGATGCACGATGCGTCCCGGCGGCTGCAGGATTGCCTCGCTGAGATGTACGAACCCGACTGGTTTGGAAAGGAAGAGATGGACGCGCTGACAGAGGTGAGAAAACACGTCCCAATAAATGTGGAAATATAAAGACGGGTTTACAAAATATAAAATAATAATATTTATGTTTGTTCTTGTATTTAATCATTCAGGTATTGTGTTTGTATTCCTCTTGATATTTCCTGATTCTTTCATATGTAATTGTATTTATTCTTCAAGAAGAATCAAAGTGCATGGTTTCCTTCAGGCTGTCCTTTCCTTCTCCTCCTGCTAACTCCTTCTCTCTCTCCTAACTCCTTCTCTCTCTCCTAACTGCATGCGTGTGTCCTTGCACCCTGAAGGAGATGATAGAGAAGGAGATGGACAATAACTTGGAGGTAAAACGTAGAAAGTTTCCCGCAGAGAGCTTTATTCTGAAAGGCTATCCTCTCTGTGGGAAACTCTGGATTAGCTCAGCAGTAGAGGAAGTAGAGAATACTTTAAACTACCAAGAGATCCTTATTTTAGGATTGAAATTGAAATTGTATTTGTGTTCCAGGACACAGACACTCTGTGGTTGGATTACCACCAGAACATCACGGACAAATCTCTGAACACCCTGGACTCGTACCTGACTCAGTTCCCTGACATCAAGGTGTGTTAGTGTTCCTGCATCCTTTCTGCATTTTGTTATTCCTTTCACAATAAAACGCGACGCTGTTGTCTGCAGGCTCGCATAGCGAAGCGCGACAGGAAGATGGTGGACTTCGACAGCGCCAGGCATCACTTCAGCTCCTTACAGAAAGGGAAGAAGAAGGACGAGGCCAAGATCGCCAAGGTGTGTGTGTGTGTGTGTGTGTGTGTGTGTGTGTGTGTGTGTGTGTGTGTGTGTGTGTGTGTGTGTGTGTGTGTGTACTGATGAAGTAAGGTCTCTGTTGGCAATGTGTGTGTGTTTGTTCTGCTGCTTGAAGTAAAAAAAGGAAGTATGACTTTATCATTTCATTGGACAATTCATACCGCCTTAAGTGTCTGCATCTATTTAAAGGAATATTAATAAAGATGTTGATTGAAGTAAATTGTGGCATCAACATCTTAAATATCCGTTTTCAAACAGTCTGAAGTCTAATCTGAATCTTATTCGTCCAGTTAAACGGATGC